ATCCACTTGCAGTCAGTCTGATGTTAAAATTTGACTTTATTTGTGCTATACATCAATTCTGTAGTATTACATTGAACACATAGTTTATGATTGTAAACATTAAATATTCTCATTCAGAGATAAGTACACACTGAAACTGAAGAGCAAGTAGAGAACGAATGGGGTTGAGTTAGGCCTTAGTGTGTGCAGTTTGTTGGGTTATATTAAGGAATACTGAACTTCTTATTTTCTAGCTGGTGGACAGGGAGTTGCACCATCATAGATGTGAAGGAGGATCCAGATTCTAGAAAATGTGAATGAGAACATTCAGGTATAGCGACTACAAATAAAGATAAGCAAATTACTGGTGGGTCGACTGAAGCGGTGGGAGTAGATTAAATCACCCAGAAGAAACTGCTGATAGAGCAGGCTCAGTACTCTGAGAGGTGATCACTTGTTAGGAAATGTCACTTTAACTTCATAGGATTACTGAAACTGTATCTTTGAGTGTCATTCTTATAAAAAACATTATATAAAGCACTTATAGTTATACTCACGTGTGATTAAACTGGATTGTTGATGAGTATGATAGACATTTTAGGTTGGATTATTTAAAAAGCTTTAAAAATAGCATCAGACTGGCATTGAACATGTCTTTGGGCCTGTTACCAGTAGTTACAGTGTGCAGTGCTACAAGAACATAAGTGTGTCTTGCAGGAAGTTAAGGCTTTGATTTCATAACAGTTCTGACTTATAGGCTGGGACAAGATTTTAGAGGTTAAGGTTTAAAAAAATAATAAGTTGTTTCTTTGCTTCATTAACATCTTACAGTCTATTTCAGGAGATTTCTGACCCACCTGAGCTCCCAAATCCAATCTTATAGGCATGTTAATTAATATTTAAAATGCAGCCTTTTATTTAAATAATGGTTGTCAGTATATTTTGGTGTAAAGACAATATAAAAGTTAAAACACTATAATCCAATTTAAGTGTGGTTGCTATAAGATTATATATGGTTACCTGTGTATCTTTCATGTGTACAGATATGTATGAAATATTTTCACAAAATAATTCTGAATATTTCCATAAAATCAGTAAAAAAGTGGACCAAATGTATTACTTTAGGTTTAACAGTCTGAAACTGTGAAAGCTTCAAACTCAGGGGAACACACAGCAGATGTGAATCGCTGAGTCAAGAGGTTTTTTTTTCTTAGTCCTGGCCATACTTATAAGTCCTTACACTTTGTTAATTTCCTGAAGAAAGTGCATTTGGCTTTTTCTGTGCATTCCAAGTACTCCCTGGTTCTGTTCTTCTCTGTGTTAATTACTCTTCAGACATCTGCCCACACCTCAGCCCTATACCTAGGTTTTTGTATCACCCAGGCCACTTTATGCTTGTTTAGTGTATGTACCTCCCATTGGGAAATATAGTTACTTTTCTGAGCTAGAGACCTTAAAGTCATTTGCAACCTTTCCCCATTCAACATTTTCCTCTCCCTTCAGTACCAATGCCTCTTAGTTCAGCAAACATCGAGCCTGGTTTAAATCTCGCCTCAAGCCATTCCTTTCTTGTTGTCCTTACCAGCACTGCCTTTTGTCAGGCTCTAATCATTTATTTCTTCTCTGAACCCTTCTGACTGGCAAACATTTGAGAGTTCAGTTGTATCAAGTTCTATGCTGGGCTCTGAGGATACCAAAATAGCCATATTATAGTAATAAGAGTGACAGTTATATGTGATTAGCACTTTTAGAAAGTTGATCTTATTGCCAAATATTTAATAAGGTACACAGGAATACATTAGAAATATAGACAGTTCTGCATTGTGTAAAGAAATAGCCTGAGGACATCGCACAAGGTTGAATACTACAAAGAGTCAGCACAAGCTAGTCAGCAGTACCACCTAGAGAGTACCATAAGTGCTGTTATTTCTCCATCATGTCACCTTGTCCTGCACCAGTGTTTGTATTACTATCCTCTCACCAGTGTTTCATAATCACTACTGGACAAGAGTGCAGGACTGGATTGTGTATACAATTTCACTCCATGTGAAGTTATTTGTGCATAATATTCCTTAGTGGAATGATTTTACAAGCCATTTGTATATAAGACACAGAAGACTGGAGCAGAGTAGCTAATCCATTCGGAGTAGGACAGAGATCTGTGAAAGTTGTGAGCAGGGACTTTAAGGGCATACATGTTGACAACACTAAGAAGTTTTTTAGTGAGCTGTAATGTGTTTTAGCCTAAGGAAATGAAGCCAGAGGGTTGAATAGAGGCCAGAAAAATCAGGAAGGATTTTGTGTGCTAAACTAGGACATATGGACAGTTCAGAGCTACTGAAAGGTTTAGAGGAATACTGTAGGTTCATGTTTCAGAAAGAAGTTCCTGGAGGTAGAGTCCTAAAGATAGCATTCCTTCCTCTGCTTCCCATGGTCTTTATCACCACAGTCAGCTTGGCAAAACACGGAAAGGATCCACTTCACCTCAAAGCTTAAGATGACTTCCCAATATCAAAGTCTAGTTTTTTTGTGGGGGGTAATACTGGAGATTGAACTTGGAACCTTGTGCTTGTGAGGCAGGCAGCAGAATCACTGAGTTATATCCCCAGCCCTGAAAGTCTAGTTTTGTACCATTACTTTAAGGAAACTCACTGTTCCCTCCATCTTGAACACTTTTGCATGATGCCCACATGATACTCTCCATTGTGTACAAGTCTGTGTTGAAATATCACACCTGACACTTCCCTTGGCTATCAAAACCGGATTCTCTATCATTTCTTAGTTCCTTACTTTATTTTTCTGAACACTCACCAGCTAGAAAAGTTTGTCATCTATCCTCCAACTGGGAGGTAAGTGCCATGAGAACAGATGCTTTTTTATGTTTTGCTCACTACTCACTGTTCTGCACCTGGCACATTGTAGGTGCTGAGTGTTTGTTGAAAGAATTTGGCCACAACCTTCTTCCCCCTTCTCTCTTTCACCCTGGGTATCACAATGCCATGAGGAGCCTTCTCACATTTTACTCCACCCTACTTTTCCTTCCTCACAAAATCCTGTTCATCTTTTGAGATCACTCCCAAATGTTACTCTTTCTGTAAAATCCTACATCAAGCATTTGCTTTTACTTAGCACCCACAGTGGTTGTTGGATATGTGGTAGAAGAGTATATTCCTGGGCTGTGCAGGATATGATAGGTAACAAGTGTTTTGAAACAAGTTAGTAATTAACAAGTAGACACTTATCCAGAAAGGTAGACAAATACTATAAGTAAAAGTTGAAATTCATTTGGTTAATTGGAGAAATGCAGGAATTAGGTGTGACAAATTTGATAAATGCAGTGTTATATGGTTGGGGGAAAGTAGAGAAACAGCCACCAGTTTTTGTTAAATATGCAAATGGTGTGGAGAAAGTATAGACTTTTATCTATATACCACTTTACCAACTTGTTACCCTCTTTAAAACAAAAAAATATGAATGTAATAAAGAAAAACAGAAATAGATAAGTGCTGAAGAAATTACTTGCTTAAGGACAGTGTAAAAAGCATAATAAAATTGCATATATACTTTGTCTTCTTACACAAAATATTTTTTCTCCACAAATGTCATTGAAAATATAAATTATCTGGAAGTGTTTTGATCAAAATAAATTACTACCATTGTACATAAGCCAATTTCTACTTTATATGACAATAAAATTCTACTTGGCTTGTCACAAATGTCTTTGTTATAAGAATACACTAGAAAGGTGTAGAGTTGTAGTCTTAAAATTGCCTTGGTTTTTTCATTTCTTCTTTATGTTTTAGCATGGGTGTATGATGATTTGTAAATTTATTTTGAGTGATTGATTTCTGCAGTGAGATCTTGGTTAAGGCCTTTGCATGAAGCTATCCAGTTTCTCTTTTCTGAATTCATTCTCTTCTCACTCCCGAAAGTATCTTTTCTCTTAGGTGAATATTAAGTTAAATTATTAGAGTTTCATTGAACTTTCTAATTGAACATTCTAACACAAACATTGAAAACTAAGAATTAACCAGTGCTTAATCAGTAAAACAAAAGTTACCATTAATCAGAGTTCACCTCCAATATCTGTCACTCGACAAATATCAATAAAAACCAAATTTGTTGTTTTAATATTTGGGAACCATATCAAGATGACAAGGGGACCTTTACTAGGTGGTGAAGGGACTCTAGGAAGGATTCACTAATGAGATGACAGTGTTTCTAGGAGTCTGGAAATGATGAAGATAAACTTTATGGTTTTGCTATTTATTTGCAACATAAATTATGCTGATATGCTTATGGAAGACAGCAAAGGAGGCATATTTTTCACATAATTTATTATAGATTTACTTTATCTCACAATGGCTATTTTTGAGAATGAAAAACATTCTAGTAGACTTGTTAATTGCATATTACTACATGTATGTGAAATATAAGTAAGCATTTTCCTAACAATGTGTTTAGCATTTTCCTATGATTAATTCATAAGCTTTTTTTAAAGAATTTTTAAAAGTTTATTGGTACATTTTAGGTATACAATAATGACATTCATCATAATTTATTATAGATTTACTTTATCTCACAATGGCTATTTTTGAGAATGAAAAACATTCTAGTAGACTTGTTAATTGCATATTACTACATGTATGTGAAATATAAGTAAGCATTTTCCTAACAATGTGTTTAGCATTTTCCTATGATTAATTCATAAGCTTTTTTTAAAGAATTTTTAAAAGTTTATTGGTACATTTTAGGTATACAATATGATGACATTCATCATTGGAAATTTGTACCTTTATATGATATGTCTTGATTCTTATTTTTCCCCCATAAGCTTTTTAAATAAAACAATAGGAAGAATTTTACCCCTTCTTTTGTTTTAATTAGCTAAAAATATGAAAGGAAAATATGGGCAAGCCTTATGTAAACTTGAAGTACATTTTTAAAGTTTGATATATTACAGAAATATTTAAGGAGATGTTATGATGCAATAGATGTTTTTGCTTTTGTTTATTTTTCAGAGTAAAGCCAATTCCAGCTGAAGGAATCAAGTCAAATCCTTCCAAGCGACATAGAGATCGACTTAATACAGAGTTGGACCGTCTGGCTAGCCTGCTGCCTTTCCCACAAGATGTTATTAATAAGCTGGACAAACTTTCAGTCCTTAGGCTCAGTGTCAGTTACCTGAGAGCCAAAAGCTTCTTTGATGGTATGACAGCAGGTTTAATTTTTCTACAATAACTTACAAAATATGGCTGTTTCTGTGTTAACTGTAAAAATTAACCATGTGTGAGAAAAGTTTTATCTGTTGCTATACAGAAAAATTAAGTGGCAAAGTCAAATTAGTGATTACTCCTAAAATCAATTTTCTGGTTCCATTCATCAAACAGAACAGCTACTTACATTTATGTATCATTCTTTGATAATTTTGTATTTAGAAACTGGGCTCCAATTATGTTTGTTCATTTTTAGTCCCCATTCTTTCAGTTTTTTAAAGTGTCTTTCTCTTTTTTAGGAGGCAAGAATAAGACACGTATTAACTCTGTGATATCTTGTTGCTGGATTTTCTGATTTCATGGCTATGTAATTTCTTTTTTCCTTTCAAAATTATATATACTTCTAATCTTTTCTATCAGTGTATGTTTACTATAAGAAAATATAATTAAAGACATTTTCCCTCAGTGGAAAGAACACGTTAGTATAGGAGTCAAAGGGATTAATTGAATTTCATTCTCCATTGTGCTACTGACAAACTGTTTTACTTTAACCAAAGTAAACATGCTAACCTCGTAGCATCCCTGTACCTCAGTTTACTCAGCTGTCAAGGTTGGAGTTTGGAGCTCAGAGACTAGGTGATACTTGTTACCTTTCAATCATACAATATTTCATCTTCATAGAGTATTTTATTTATTTATTTATTTATTTTTGGTACCGGGGATTGAACTTGGATCCTTGCGCTTGCTTGCAAGGCAGGCCACCGAACCACTGAGCTAAATCCCCAGCCCCTTCATAGAGTATTTTAAATGGGAAGTTTTTGTTTTAAATGTTGTTTCAGTGACTTTTTCATATAAAATAATTCTCTTTTGTGTATTAAAAAGTAAAACATAGATGTTTCAAGGAAATGTTTTAAAAGTCATGTTATGAGACTGTGGTGGAATCTCAGTGGCCTGTATCAGTGCTGCTCAAACTTCAGTGTGCTCACACATTATCTACAGATCATGTTAAGGTACAGGTTCTTCTTCAGTTAGTTTGGGTGTGGCCAGATGTTTTGCATTTCTAAGAAGCTCTCAGATGATGCTGATATTGCTTGTCTAGGTCAGTAGGCAGTTTCTAGACAAGTCTAGATGGAATTTGTAATTTGTATTTAGAATATTGCATAACAATTTCCCTTTAGATTTATGTGTATGTGATTTCATGTGTTTAGTCTGAGCATCTTTTTATTTGTTGGTTTGTATGCTTAGATATATGACTTTTCTTTTGGACAAAGCCTAGATAGTTTTAACAGTTATGATCAGGGAAGTACATATTTATTAAAGGTAGTGATTTCAGGGAAAGAATGGACAGCATTCTATGAACTTTTTAAAAGTTTTGTAGTAGACATTGTATTTTCTCTGTCTTTGAATTATCAGTCTTACCTTACCAAACCATTCATGTTGGGATGACTTATGCAGTATTTAGTGACACATCTGTGTGTGTATATTCTTCAGCTGTAGAGTCTTTTGTGAGAGAGTTGAAACTAGAATCCAGTTTTCTGGATTCCTTTTATTGATTGGTTTTTCTGATTGTATCTCAATTACTCCCCCACCCCCAGGAACTCTCATATAGCAAACTGAGGACTTCTCCCTAGGTCTCTGGTTTTCCTAAGTGTTACCCCCAGTAAAGAGCATCAGCATCATAGATTGTGCAGTAGAACAGAACTAAAGCTATTTAGTATAACCTCACATACATACCTACACACATATATATTTAATGTGCATATTATATATATGTATATGTGTATATACATATATGTACACTTACATATATAATTTAACATCTGTTATTCAGTGCCTCAAAGGAGATCCCAAGTCTACCTTCTAAAGAATGTTACAGCATAAGAAGGCTCATCATGGAGTTCTTGTTAAAAAATATTTTCTCAGCTCTTCATTGATGAGCTAATTTACTTGTTATTGTGATCCAGTGAATTTGACAGTAGGATCTTATTATCTACAATAGGATCTTATTCTTTCATCAATTATATTATTTTTAATTTTAGGTTCTTTACATTACTGGTTTCAAATTCTATGAGCATGAGAATTTCTGGAAAGCATGTTTAAGTTCACATTCTAGCACATGCCTCTTTTATATGCTCACTCAATAGATTTATGTAAAAACACAGAAATCAGAATTTAAACAAGCATGTTAAAGAGTCTACAGCAGTGTCCTACCTTGGCCTTGACTGTGTCCTTAACTAGTTTTTAAAAATTATTTGCTTTGCCTTTGAAAGGAAAAATTCAAACATAACACAATTTTAGAAAGACTATAGATGTTTTTACTTGGGTTTTAGTGGCATGCATATATCCTACACAGTACCCAAGTTATTCTATATAGGAAGGAATATAGAATTAGAAGGCAAGGGAGTATAAATTAGTTAAAAATAAAGAAGATCCCAACATCTTCTCCAGAATGTCAGTGGTCTAGAATGACAGTAAACTGTTTCAGAGTACACAGAGGATAAAATTTAGGGGGTAACCCTTGGGAACTGCAAAATGATATATGCAAAATAGGAGACCCGGAGGATGCTGGTGGTATTTCGGGTTTTCAGGCATACTTAGACTCACTCTCCCACTGTTGGGGAAACTGTTTAGCAAAGTGAAGGGAAACTCAAAATGAATAACAGGATGCAAACAGGGGGTGTGTAAATTCCTGCGGAAAGAACGATATAAACGAATAATCATACAATCTTTTCAGAAAGGAAACTCAAGTTTTACTATAACAATAGATATTTTCCCAAGAAAATACATCTATTTATTGTGAGTTTAAATAATCTAACTCGGATGGATCTTCTTATGCTTTGGAACCATAACTGTACTGCTGTTGCTGTCTGAAAAGCAATGCTGTGTTTTAAGAGCAGCATTAATATTTATCCATTTCTAATTAACTGAAACATTCTAAAATATAAATTCAAAGTACTTTAACAGGATTTAGTAATTTCTCAGGTATGGTAAAGTTAGAAGCAGTTTGACATCTGAGTATTAGTTCAGTTTTCACATTTTCCTGAGAGGGAAGGTATTTTAAAAAGTTAAAATCATTTAATAACTATGAATAACAGTAGTTTATTTACAGGGACTAGGATTTGGATAATTATGACCTAACCATTGAAGTTGGTTGATGTTAGGGAAAGGATTGCTTACTCCTGTATTGTGTCTCTTAACAATTGTGACGCAGTAAACAGTGGACCTATTACCAATGTAATCAGTATGGTAATATTTTATTCTTAGAAATAATTTCAGCATATATTGATAATTTTAGTTGCACTTCTTTATCACCTTTTGAAATGTTCATTTGCATGTAAGAGTTGTATTTTTTAATAGCAACACAAAAAATGAAATTTGGGGGAAAAATGAAAATTTGGGATTGACACCTTTCTTGTTTGAAAGACACAAATATCTCAGAAAAAGGTAGAAAAATGTTTCTGTCACAGTAGTAGTAGTTAGATGTCAGGTAGCGTTTACTCAGTAAAATATTTATTGTATTGTACCATTTAAAATGAAACAATACAGTAATGTTTAACGACCTCCAATATATTTGAGTCATAGGCTATTTTTGTGACTCTTCATAATTGAGATGAATTTGTGGGAAAAAGACTTAGAAAGAAACAAACAAAAAAGAAGATATTCTGTAGGTTATTGTTAACCTGTAAGACTTGAATTTCTAGATCCAAGGTACTAATTTCAAAGATTCAGAGGAACATCTCAGTCCTTGACTTGTGCTTAAAATGCTATTTTACAAAGCTCAGAATTATTTAAATGAGAATATTTAAAATTTATGAAATCTAGAAATACTGTGGGAAAGATAACATGATAATTATTAGATGTGATCTAATATTTACTAGGTATAACATTAGATGCACAGTTAGATGTGATCTTACATTCTTTGACCTTATGGTTTGTTATGCATCTTTGTTGACTTTATTTTAAACTAGTAATTATAATTGTTCTTTCCTAAGTCTTCCTTTTAAAGATGCTTTCTTTCCAGTTAATTAAGTTTTGAAGAGAAAGCTGTTGTGGTTATTCATCCTCTGCTTGAGCATTTGAGTGAATTTTAGTCCTATTTTGGTAACTCTTAAAAGCGAAATGTTGTTCTTGGAAATAAAAAATATTACATGGTATGCCATGTGCAAGCAAAAATAAGCAGTAAAAATGAATATAGTAGTCAAGGGCTCTTAAAGATTGATGTTTTATAAAGTCTAGATGGATTTGTACATCTTTTTCATTCATGGGAATTTTATAATTTCATATGATTTTCAGTAACTTAAATTAGATAACGGTATAGTCATTTGCCAAGGAATGTACAGAAAGCTTAGTATCACAGTAAATCTAGGAATGTCTATTTATTTGCATAACAGTTTAACACTTTAGAAATCATCATATACCATAGCATTGTCCCTTTTAGCTTGTTATTTAGCTATGTTTTACCCGAAATCCCCATTTAAAAACTTAAAAATCTACTTATAAGATTGATGATAACTTCGTAGCTAAAACTATGTAAATCTAGAATTTCTTTTAGATTTTAATTTATGGGGTTTATATAACAAAATCCAAGTAGATTTATACATGTATGAATAAAAAAGAATAGTAGATCATTCCTATTAGGTGAATATTCACAATCCTAGCTTTTATAGTTAACATTCTGACCTCTTTGGATCAAACATTTAATCTCTCTTTCCTGCAGTTATCTCACTTTACAATATATAAATCATTAGATTGTATGAATAAATGTAATATTTTTTTATGTAATTTTATACAAGAAACTTTTATCTGCATGTTTTGATTGCTTTTCAAAGTACACAAAAACACATTGAAATATCTGAGATTTAAACAGATCTTAAACTTACTCGTTGTGTACTGTATATTTTGTCCCATCTTTTAAATTAAGTGAATAAAACTCCTGCCTCAAGCTGGCAATTGAATCCAGGGCCTCAAGTATGCTAGGAAAATGTTCTCTCAC